TTACTTAGGATAATTGATAGAAATTTGGTAAAAATATAAGTAAAATGCAAATTAGACTCTTCAGGAGATAGAAGCTACAAGCAAAATTATGGCAAGAACTAACTGAACTTTCAACAGGAAGGTCTCCAAAGTGGCTTCACATACTCCAAGCCCTTTTTGCTTCAGGAGAGGTTGTTTCTGAGGAGACAGCGAGAGACTGGGAGTCAGTGGGGCTGACTGCACAAAGGCAAAGCTTTTTACGTTCAGACTCTGTCCGGATTTAAAGAACCCTCTCCAGCCTTAAGGCGTACCAAAAATGGAGTATAGCCCACAAAGCCTGTTTGATAAAGACTAGGAGAGAGAACAGTTCACCATCTGCTAATAGTCAATCCTCAAGAGAGAGTTGGGAACAGAATTCAAGAGAATTCTCTATGAGTCTCTTAGCAAAAAAAAGAAAACTTTAATAAAACATATGGCCTATCCTACCCAAGTACTAACAAAATGAAAAAATAAAACAAAACTGCAGTAAAACCTACTAAACCACCAAGGATCTTCTATGACCTATCAATACACTCCTAGGTATATGACCAGAAGAACTGAGAGCAGGAGGGCAAACAAATGTTTACCAGGACAGTCACTGTAGCAACGTTCCCAATTGTCAAAGGGTGAAAGCTACCTGCATGTCCATCAACAGAACAGAAAAACAAAATGTTGTTTGAGTTTACATACATATACACAAAATGAAACCACTGTCATAAAGGAAAATGATGTTGTGATACATGTCACAAAAGGACAATGATTACACGATCCCATTGATGAGGCCGGAAAATGTGGAGAGTAAAGCTATTTAGTGTCTATCAGGTGTAGAAGAGGGATACTGCTCAGGGAAGCACTTTCTGTGAATGGTGGGGGAATAATCTTAAAGTGGACAGTAGTGATGGAGATATATAATCAAAGTCACTGAACTATATATGTAAAAATTGTTAAACTGGCTAATGTTTAATCAATATGCATTTTGTCACAATTAAAAAGCAAAAATACTTCTTGTAGCTTAAAGACAATATGAAGAGAAATGTAAAATGTGTAAAAAAATAAATAGAAAACATCATACATACAAGCAATAAATTGTGTTCTGAGGAAAAATTACCCTTTAAAACCCCAACAGAACTGAAGAGTGAGTACATGAATCAGTCAAGCATCCAAATCAAAATATCTGTAAAAAGACCAAGCCCAAGGAAAGGGGCACATTAGTAAAGAAAAAAACCATAAAACCAACACACAAAATAGTTGTTTTTTTCTGGTAAGAAAACACAGTATCTTTTTTGATAACCAATGCTTAGAGAATACAGAATCAGGAGCTACTTTTAAATGTCAAAATAGTGATATTTTTGTGTTTTTTTCCCTCCCAAGTACCAAATATCAGTGTGTTATTAAGTACATGATTTTAAAGGTCAGTCAATGGTTTTGATTATCCCTCTTTACTGTCTCTAATCATTTCCCCCTGGCATGCCTTATGTCCCAATTCTCTCTTCTCTACTTAGTTCTTATTAACTCCTTGCACTCACAGAGTATCTTCTCCAAAGTAGATAGATCAATCTGCTAAAGAGGAGGACAAATAAGGTGTTGGGTTGCGGAGGGCAGAGCAGCTGTAGTGCGAGAACATCTGTGTGCAAGAGCAGCCAGAGGGAGAGGTCCAGAATCTCCATTGTGGCAGTTATTGAACTTGGACTGGCTAAAACAGTTGATGACACCAGAGTTCAAGGAAGCAAGAATGTAGAAAAATAGTGTCTAATCCTTGTATTTTAATAATTGTTTTAAAATAAAGAGGTTGTGGACATTAAAAAAAAAATTTTTTTTTTTTAAATTTGAATGCCTAGCCAAGCTAGTTGGTTTGCTTTGGAAAATATAATTTGCTGAAATTAATTCCAGGAGACAGAACTAAGAACAATACAAGACACTGAGAAAATGCCACTTACTTAAGGAGCAATGTTTATAAATCGTCAATGGCTGAAATGCTAGAGATAAGCCCCTCAGGCCCAATAATGAGAGTAGCGATACCAGGAGGAGAAGGGAAAGGTGGGGAGAGAAATATATATCTATATATCTTTATCACAATGATCTTTATATAGCCCGCTCCCAGGGGGACAGACAACAGAAAAGTGGGTGAAGGGAGACGTCGGTCAGTGTTAAGACATTAAAAAAATAATAATTTACCAAAAAAAATACACCCCCCCAAAAAGAAAATTTTTTTAAATAAATTATCAGGGGTTCATGAGGGAGGGAGGGAAAAAATGAGGAGCTGATACCAAGGACTTACAAGTAGAAGGAAAATGCTTTGAAAATGATGATGGCAACAAATGTACAAATGTTTTGACACAATGGATGGATGTATGGATTGTGATAAGAGCTGTATGAACCAACAAAATGGTTAAAGAAAACCCCAACCTATTTTAGATTGGGAAAAGCTTCCAATTAATTTTAGCTCGTGTATCAAAACTTCTATGTCTGACCAAGAGTTCACAACAACAAATTATAAAAACTTCTTTTCTATCAATGTAAAAATCTCAAACAAAATATCCGCAAGCAAACTTGACAGCTCATTAAGCGGCATTCTCACATGTAGGAGAACGATTCCTGAAGGGCAAAGCTCCCAAATGCCCAAACCAAAACGCACTACCACTGAGGTGATGCTAAGACTCAGAACAACTCTCTAAAGACAGGGTAGTCCTGACCCCGGGCGTTTCCCAGGTTGCAAACCTTAATGGAAGCAGAAAGCTTTATCTTTCTCGAGAAGCGGCTTGGTGGTTTTCAAACTGCTGACCACTGATTTGACTCCTCTGACTTGGTTTCCAAAAATCTTTAAAGGGAACCCTATTTTCTTTAGTTAATAATATAACCATAATGGCATTAACATGATTACATTCCCAGGACCACCCAGGTCTTTAGCATTGGGTAAAAAGGCTGCTATCACCGCTTACAAAAATGCTGAGCTTGATAGCACTTACGATGCACATAAAGTTTATATTAGTTCTACCTTTTTTTTGTTCCCCAAGTTTCTTGAAGTTCCCTCACAGAAGTAGTCCCTGATTTACAACTGCGCTTTTTTTGGTGCTTCTGATGCAAATCAAATACCTCGTTTTCCTAAAGTTTCCATTATTGTGCTTCCTTTAGTATCAGTATCTTGATATATCTGGTCTTTTGTCTTTGGGGGTTGGAAACATTATATATTAACTTAAAGGCATATTTTAAAAGCAGTACATATTAAGGATCACTGTTGTGGGCTAATGCAAGTTATTAGTTTTAAAAAGTTGAGTACCTAATTATCCACTTGTGATTAAAATGGCAGCATTTGCCCAAGGACAACACTGAGAAGGGTTAGAAATGAAGAAACTACGTAAATAGGAAAGACGGGGCAGATATGGGTTAAGAGAGCTGTTCCTTGGGGAGGTCGCAGCTAATAAGGGGAAACAAAAGGTTTATAATTTTTGAGAGAAAAATGATTATGCTCTGTAAACTTTTATCTAATTCACTAGGGGAAAGGGCCACACACAGGGTACATAGTGTTGTCCACAGGGTTGCTATGAGTGGAACTGACTCGATGGCATGAACACCACCACCACTCATCCTGGATACGTTTTTAATTTGGGGGGGGGGAGGAGTAATTTTTATTTTCTGAAAAGGGGGAAGTATGTCAAATAAGCTTGGGAAACTATGCTATACAGGGTTACCAAGAATATAAATCTATGGGAACAGACAGCCAGATCTTCCTTCTTTCTGTGGAGTGGCTAATGAGGAGTTTGAACTACCAGGGACCTTGCGGTTTTGCAGCCCAAAGCCTACCTGACAGTAGCCCACCATGGCTCCTTAGTTTAGGAGTATAAATGAAAGCCTATGACTAACTACCTTTTAAAAATTAATCAACATCGAGGAGACCAACAATAAGGAACACACAAAACAAACCGCAAATACAGTAGTCTGTAAACTTTATAACATTAAACTCTCTGAAGTCCCCAGGATTTCTCACTACAAGAGAAACCATATTTAGAGAATAAAATAATAAACAAAGACTTTATCTGCTAGTACATACTACTCACCCAGCTTGGAAAATCGGACCAGGTTGGAACTCGCTGGCAGAGGTCGCGGAGAATACGTATGATTATCACACAGGACTGCAGTCCATTTGCTCTAGCCTTGAGAGCAACACACAAACAGCAAGTGAATTAGTCTTTAGAAATAGTGAAAACGTCCCTTGATGAAGAGAAGTTAAAATACCACTGTTGAATGGAAGCTCAGATAAAAATGAAACAAAAACAATCACACTTAAAATTGGATTCAATGAGCTGCCATTTACAGCAGTATTTTATGCCAGGGTTAGTATTTAAAAGCTGGTATTGTAGGTCAAAGTAAACAGGTTATACAAGAATAACATTCCTTGATCCCCTGTGAACTTTGACCTGTGTTCATTTATAACAGTTAACTTAAAAAATAATCTGCCTACATTAGAAATAAAAGAAAAGGTAAAGAGCTAAAAAGTCTGTCTAGAGACTGAAAGGTTAAGGAGATCTGTTTGGTTTCCCGTCTGTGCCTTTGCATGACTGCAAAGTCACTAAACCAAACAGCTGCCTCCTCCCCTTTCACTCCCTGCACTTCTTAACTTAGAGAAAGAGGGGGGAAATCTTAAAACGATACACAAAGCTTTAAACACATATTCCATTATTTAAAGCAAAGTTCATCTGCAGCCTTATGGAATACAATACAGAAACACGAACATGTGATGTTCCTAAATAAGCCAACTTTAAATAGTCACTAAAAATAAAAGTTAAAAAACACCCCAAACTACAAAACACCCCCAAACATAAGTTTATTGTCAAATCAATAGTAACTGCAATATGCAGCTCTTCATACCCAGCTTTCTAGGTTAGCATGTTTTCTGAGATTTAATGTAAAATAGTATCGCTTGGGTGATCTTTGGAAATGTTTAAACACAGTTAAACATATTGTACTCAATGACTCTCTCATAAGGCTACAAGAAAAAAGTAAAATGATGTTCCGAACCTGGAACCACTTAGCGTGGCGTAGAGCAGCCAGAGCGTCAAGGCATTTTTGCCTGTCCAAGACGTCCGGTGGGTCTTTCACCATACCCGAGGTTACATCTAAAATGGATTGAATTGGCAAAATGCAGTGAGGAATGGGTGTTTGACCAGGTGAGCAAGACACTTCCTTTAAAGTAGCATCAGTGTCACATGAGCCATTTGAGAGTTTATTAGCACTTTAATGTACCCAGAGAGCTATTTTCAGCAAATTTACGCAATCTGATAAGAAGATCAAAACAGAAGCCAAGGTCTTAAATTTACTTTCTAATTACAAGACAGAGATTGAAATACTGTATTCAGTAATGTAATATTAATCTCTGAAAAAAGAAATCCCATCGCCAAAATAAAATCTACAGGAAGGATTACTGGACACAGTGCACCAGCACAATGACAAGACAAGAGGGAACACAAAAATCCACCTAGTAAATGAGAATATACAATTAACCACTGAATTTACCGAGTATTCTAAAATGGCCATAGGTTACCACCCTGAGGCAGATATGGCAGAGAACTGATGATAAACATGAAGTGACCAATACATTAACTGTAATACAGCATTGGGCAAAAAAAAGGCATCTCAAAATTAGTCCAATGCTTTCTCTCCCACAAAAGAATTCTAGAGGAAAAGGAAATGCATTTTTATAGCACAAGGTTTTCCAAAGAATGGGTTGAGAGAAATCGCAGGGAAAGTAGAAAAGGACAGTAAGAACTAGCCTGGCTAAAGAGAGAAGTATGAAAGAAAGAAGCAGTAAGCAAAATGCTATAATGGTAAGTAATATGTAGGGTCTTTCAAGTTATACACAACAGATTTGAATTGGATCACAGTATTAAAAACATAAATGAGTTACACACACTTAAGAAGAAAACATGGACCTACGCTAAAGTTTCCATTGATAAAAGTAGTTGGGAGAGTCAGTTTTATATTCATCCAAACATATCTATAAAATTTGAATACAATGAATAACAAATTTGCTAATTAAACTACTAACAAGTAAACAGCAACTAATCCCATCTAATTCATAGTTCTCGGTGATTATAATGAATGTTTTTCTTAAAATAGTAAAAGGGCCTACTAGGCAAGCAATCTACAGAAAGAGCTGGCCCCGGCTAACCAGCATCAAAGTAATGGGCTACTTAGAGTACAGTTTAATCCATCATTGAGGGCATCCTGTGAGGATTAAGTAAATGAGGAGAAGTATATGAAGTTTTTTTAAACTTCAAGAAGATTTGGTTTCACAACACTAGTTCAAACTCAAAGGAAATCAACTGATCCTAGTTTATATGAGCCTTCAGAAGTCTTAATAAATGCTTGACATACTTGAGGAAATGGCATGTTAAACCTGATAAGGAATTCAAATCCTGGTTTAGGCTTTCTCCAGTTCTTACTCCTCAATCAGATGGGCACAAAATTTTAAAACATGTATTAAGAGCAAGATTTCCCTTTATTCATTTTTTAAGAGCAAGATTTAACAAAATCATTAAACCAATAAAAGGCCCATAATCCACTACGTGGGAATTTGAGAATGAACACTGAAATCTCGGTGCTAAAAGGAACTATCAACAAAAAAATCTTATTAACAAGCAATCTCCAAATCCATTCAAGATCAACTATTGAACCCCAGAAATAACTTGAACCTCAGAAGTGGACTATTTTAAGATAAAGAAAAAGGGCACAGGAAAGCAGAGCTGATTGAGAAAGTTAATGAGAAAGAGAGAGAGAAAACACTCCCAATACTAAGCCCACACCCAAAACAGGGCCTACCGAATGAACTGACTGACAGTCCTCTTTCCATCTTCCTTATTCATTTGCTAACGGGAGAATGCAAATAGGTGACAATATGCAATCTCTTTCTAAAGTTTCTGATTTTCTAATGTTAATTCAAGGTTTTAACCATCTCTTCCAATATATGTAGTTTTTGGTTTCCTTTTGACACACGTATTCACAAAACTTTGGAAATTTTAATGATACAAGTTCAAAGATGCCAAGACACCTATTGCAATTTAAAATCAAAATTAGAGCTGTAAACAGAACATTTCTGTTAAATTTAGTGTGTGGATTTTTGCACTCATTTTTTAATTTCAAGTAGATTAACCCCTTAGATATATCAGGCTAAAATCATACTTATTGCCTAACACCCAGTTAACAAAACAAAACAAAAATTGGTTAATTTATAAGAACAAAGTGTAAATTCTTACCCTATAGGAATGTATTTCATATGTTTAAGGGGTTAATCACCAGTTAGAAGACATGCTGTGTCCACACTATTTTATGATGAAACATTAATGGGCATATATTAATTGAACATGGTTATGTAAAATATATAATCCACCCAACCATTTAAAAACTAGTGTGAACACTGCTTAATTTAGAAGAGACAAGGACAAAACAAACAAAACAGCCACACAAAAGGACAACAAATGCCAGACTCTGCTTCCAAAATCCCTCCTTAAATCAAATGGCAGGTGTGACACTGAGCTTTTGAAAACCTTGGTCAAAAATCCTTCCGATGTATTGGCAGCAACCCCTGACAGGAATCAATCCCCTCTGCTAGAAGGCTTTGGACCGGGTCTGATAAGCTATAGACAGAAAAAAAGATACAATACTTGACTTGCTGCAGAAAAAGATCCTGTAGCAAGGGTTAGCGCCTGTTGAACATTTCAAGCTTAGTCAATTAAATGTATGCTAAATACTTAACTGTCAAACACAGTACCAAAACACAGATTTGTCATGCGTTTAACAGTTATTTCTGCAATTTAATCATTCCTATAAAAATCATTTTTGGTATTAAACAGGACCCATTTTGTATTAAAGAGGCTATCATGCTATGCGCAAGTCACAAGTCTCGATTGGCAACAGTTCTTCCGGCAAAGCCTTCCTTACCCCCTGTGCTAACTTCCCAAAGCAAGCTATAGTAGTAGGCTTTCAATGATTTTAAGACACAGAGCACCGGGAGCTGCAGTGAGAGGGAATACATACCGTTATTCTGCAGCAAGAAAGAAGCAACTCTTCATAATGAAACCAATACTGGTTTGCTGCAGTTAGCTGCAGCGAGGACCACTACCAATGTTCCTGTACTTTTTGCACATCCAGCTTTTCAGCTCAGTGTCTTGAAGTGGAATCTTTCCATTTTGGACTGGTCATTTCCCTTTCATAGTACTTATGAAATTCAGAATCACCCTAACTCAAGTTGGGTCAGACAAAAATGTAATTTTGTTTCCTTTAGAAGGGCTAGGTTATGAAGAATCCACTATAAACATGATAGCACTAACTGTACACTTTTGCAACATAGTAAAATGGCTTCAACAAATAGAAATTCAATTAACCCTAAATATAATTGGACAAAATGTGCTCTTAAAGTCAAATGGCTTTATGTAGTAAATCCCCTGAGTGGAAAGTCCTTCTCAAATCCTAAGCAGAAAGTCATACACTGCATCTGACTTGACCAGACTGACTCAGGAACTGCTTTTCCAGCAACATCCAAGGTCAGACCTTGAGTTGAAACTCATGCTCACATAAAAGATCCTTTACACAGAACTCACTTATCTTGTAAGATGTAAAGCTTAAGTGAAATAGTGGAGTACATACAAAGTATACAAGATTACGGATGTCCCCGAGTAATTATTTTTGTAAAACGTTCTTTCCCTGGGTTGTGGAAATCCCAGTGCCTTAAAAAAAAATTGTTTTGCTGTAAGGTAACAAATTTAAAGGAGCAGAATTGGGAGTCCACTGAAGCTATGTCACAGGAATAAATTTAATATTCATCATACAGTATCCTTTTATCACTCTGTATTGACAAGAAAGATTAGTGTACACTCTAACTCCATACGCAACATGTTAAGATGCATGAATACAACATGAAAGGAAACAAAGTAAATTTTATCTGACCCATAAAACAGAACCAATATACTGCAGACACTGATCATGCTTTTTGGCTTAAAAGCTTTTGAAGCTTTGAAAATGTTACAGAACAGTCCCTAAAGCAACATTGCTGGCACCAGGATTTCATATTCTACAATTGTAAATTACGCTGAACAACCATTAATTGTATGAAAAACCAACTATACCACATATTATTTCAGCATCTCTAGTACAATGGTAGGGTCATCAAATGGCCCAATCTGCATGTGGTAGGATGCTTGGCATTGATGAAAGCACTCCAAACCAAAGGATAACCTCAGAGAACTAGAAATAGTTATCACTGGATAATCCAAATCCATGTTTATATACACCAGAATGCCTTTTAATATTAAGTGTTATATTCAACCAAATTTGCTTTTGAAACACTTCAATTTTTGGGTAGATTAAGGTAAAAGAAAGAACTTCTTAGTAGAAATTAAGGCCCCTCACTAGTAATATTTCTTTAATTTTAATGTGCCGACTATGCTGCCAAAAAGAATTTTGAATTTATTTTCCCAGAAATCTGAGGTTAGCAAGAAAAGAAAAAAAAAATCAAAAATCAATTATACTGTGAGTGTCTTATGTAAAAATACAAAGAAAGCATTTACTTATTAGGGAATTATCTTAAGAGAAACTGGATGCTAAAAGTGAAAACTAGCAAATTCATGTGTAATGCCAGCATGTTGCCTTCTAGGGCGTAATGCCATCTTACAGAGTAGGTAAATGAATGAAACTAGTTAACAGAAAGTTGAATGGTTAGTAGATTTCCAACCTCCTTCCCTCATGTTCTCTTCTCGAATAATTGGAGATGTCAGGGTGATAGTGACTTGCATTTTGGGTTCCACACATGAATTCAAAATGATTGCCGCTTCAGTCACAGCACATTTTATGTCATACTTCTCAGGACTGATAACCTATGCAACGAAGAGTACAAGAATTAGCTGGACCGTTTCCCTTATCAGACAAAGCCGTTTCATCACAGTTCTTTCACTTTCTCAATCCATTAACCGCTATCATAACTCTTCTATAAAAATTAGATACTTCAAGAGGCTGGGCCATAAATATACATGGTAATTCTTATACTTCCTTACCTTTAGAATTTGTTGTTCGTTAATATTTACCATTGCATTATATGAGTTATTTGCATATGTATAGATTTCTCTTAGATAACAAACTACTGAGTAAAAGAAATATTACTGAATTTATCACTGTATCTTCACACAGCATGTGATTTTAAGTATTTATGTATTTGCAAAATTTGAGTAAGAATGAAATAGGTCCATAACCTGCCAGGGGCCATGTTTTGCCTACTACACCACTCACTGTATGTTCTCTGCAATTTTAATAGATCTACAACGTCTCCTGGTTAATAGCAAAGAGGCCCTAGGATTCTCTGAGATTTGACAGACATGTGAAAAGGCTCAGTTTATACAGAAGAAATGAAGACTCTACAGAAATTAGACTAATTCTAGCTCTGTGTTTGGACTAGCAATGTGAAGATCAGCAAATCAACCTCCTCTGTGCCTGTTTTTGTAAAAAGGGAGAGGGTAATTGCACCTAGGCTAGAGAGCTGTTGGAGGATTCAATGAATTAGCTCTATAAAAACCAGTGTCTGGCACACTAAGCCAAAATCCATGGTCTTTGAAATGTAACAGGCTCATCAGGACCCTACAGGGTAATGCACAAATGCTCCAAAGCGAACAGTCTCTTCCTCCCAGAGTGTGATAGTAAGTCTAAACTGCTGACTTTGTAGTTAGCAGCCCAACAACACTGAACCCACAGTGCCATGATGCCTTTAGTAGCACACAGAACTACGGAATTATGATTATGAATTAATTTTTTGATGACTCACTTATCTAATAAAAAGATTCCGTTAGAATAAAATACCTACTGTTTGGCAGTTCTAGTAACCACTACACTTAACTTCTGGCAAATGCCAAGATTCTTCTAATGCCCCAAACCTTTTATTCTCCCTGCTTACTGCCTTTAGCAGCCTCACCAGAGGGGCAGGAAGCAGACTCACAAAGCTAACCCTGCTGTATCCTAATACCGTATTTTCTAAAACAAAGAACTTAACACAACTCGTGACGTCGAAAGCAAAGAAGAGTAAGTGGCAGAGCTGTGAGAACTTGAGTTTAACAGCACGCTTAACTGCCACGTTTGCTACCAGTGTTCTGCTATGTCCAGCTACCAGTCTCCGTCATTACTGCAGAATTTGCCAATCCTTGGATTTAGAATGCCTATTTATATTCTGGGTTTTGAAACACATTCTATACCTAGAAATATTCAAGGAATCATTATTTCAAATCTCATTTGGATCAAGTGAACTTTATAAAAGAAATATTTGTTGTTGCAGAACAGTAAGAAACACTCCATTAATTAGCTACTACCATGTTTTGCTGGCTGAACACAAAAAATAAAGCCAGCCACAAGGAACATGCAGAAAAAATAAAGAATAGGACAAGTAGTACATATGCAATAATATTACATTTTGAAATAAATTGGGAAGATGATTTCATGCCATCTACTAAGACTACAAAGCCTAAGGCAATAAAGAAATTACTTCGACCACTTTGTACAAGTAAAAAAAAAAAAAAAAAAATCAAAGCAAAATAACAAAAAAACAGTAACAAGAACAAAATTCATTATGAAAATCAGGTCAATATTTTAAAGGACTGGTTTACATTTAAACGAAAGCACAGCTAGTCCTGCTAAAAAACAGACAAGGGGTAAAAATGAACATTTTCACAATACTTACAGCAAGCTGTTTGGGTAGGTTTTCTGCAATACGGCTTAGTAATGACTTTGAAGGTTTCTCTGAGCACAGCAAAACAAGGTTGACATTTCTATCTCCTCGGAGAAGTAATCCTTTTGCCAACACGCCTACTCGCAAAACTCCTTTCAAAGCTCTGCAGTGAAGTCAAATTATAATAGGACATTTTTCTTTCTCAGTCAGAATCATGAGAAACCTACTAAACACGTAACAGTACTATTACAATTTCAAATACTACAGTGGAAAATCTTAAATAAAAAAATCTGCTATTGAATAGTTATTTACAAAAGATCAATGTATATAAAAAACCACAACTGAAATGCATTCAGTGCTTACAGGATTTCTGAATTACACCTCAGGGTAAGAAATCTACACAGGTAAGTAAGTGCTCATGGTGACAACTACAAAAGACATGAACATTTCTGTTTCTCACTTTGCAAACTCAACCAGGGTCCTGTCAAATATAATACAAAAATATTTCTAAGTGGTAAAGGGAAAATGACAGGGAACAGAGATCACAATGCAAACTTGCTGTGAAAGATAATGCCAAAGCCCAGTTGTGCTTACACTCTATGGTCAGTCCTTCAAGGGAAAAGCAGCCAAGAAAACAAAAACCTGTGGCGCAGGTGACAAATACGATAAAATTTTTTTAAAAAGCAGCTAACTGCAATGAGAAGGTACAAGGACTTGAACTCAGATAGTTTTCAATATATTATATAAAATGAGGACGATGTAAAGATGAGATATTGTACACGAATGCTATTACAGCAAGATATAACTAAATACAAAAATATCTAGTGCAAGCCTATATATGACATGCCAACTCACATCAAAGAGTGCTTAGTCTGTAAAATCGTTCTTTCTTACACGTCTAAGGACTCAAATGCAAGGAACAATGAAAAGCAAATCTAAAACACACCTGTCCTTACCGCCCTCTTTTTTATCATCTCCCTCCTTGTTTTTGCTTTTTTCGTGCTCAGACAAGCTGTCTGAAACAAGCTTTAAGGCGCGCTCAGTGATAGAAACAATTTTCTGAACTGCCTGTAACTCTTCTTCGGTGGGATAAATAGTCGCATGCTTGGTCATCACATAACGGTCATCAGATGAGTCAGGGCGACGCAAAGGCTACAGAGGAAGAAAAGCTGTTACTAAACTTAAAAAAAAAGGACTCAGGAGCAGAATAGTTTCACCTATGCCTATTTTTCTATCTTTTCAATAAAAAGTCAATTATGCAAAATGTTCACATGTAACAATTTTCTCCTTTTTAGTAAAAATGAAAATGCAAACTATGAAAAGTTAAAACATCAAAACTATACCCCTTCAAGGGGGGTACCCCCCCAATTCCGGTTTTTTCCTTCAAATTTATATATTTAAAATTTTTTACAAAACAATCTTATCAAAAAACAAAACAAAACAAAACAACCTTGTCACCTTCAAAGTATTCTCCATTACACTTAATAAGTTTGTCAAATCTACTATTCCATTCTTGGAGAGACATGTTTCACACCCATCTGTTGGGATGACTGACAGCACCTCCCTCATTTTTCCTTCACCTCTTCTGTGGTCAAATCACTGTCCTTTCATGTCCTTCCTCATTTACGGAAACAAAAGAAAATCGCACGGAGTGATGTCAGGTGAGTAAGGTATGTGGAACAAGAGAAGCATGCTGTTTTTTTGCCCAAAACTGGCACAACGGAGAAGGCTGCGTGAGTAGGTGCACTGTCGTGGTGGTCAGTTCCCCGTCTGCCACAAATCAGGCCTTTTTTGCTAAACCGTTATGCAATATTTTCAGAATTTCTAAATAGAATGCCTGATTAACAGTCTGACCTGGTGGAATGAACTTGAAATACACTATCCTCACCACCCCCAATCAAAAAATCAAATGAGCATGGTCTTGATCTTTGATTTCACTTGACGAACTTTTTGTCGGCAAGGTGATGATGGCATCTTCTATTGGCTTGATTGATGTTTGCTTTCCGGTCATGTCTTGTCACTGGTCACTTGTCACCTTGGAAAAAAATGTCTCAGTCGCGTCTTAATTGTTCTTTGAAAGCAGGGCATGTTTCCCACTCTATGCTCCTTTTCCTGGTTAGTCAGAATCTGAGTCACAAATTTCACAGTGACCCATCTTTTTCCCAAATCTTCCATTAAAATTCGCTGAACTGAGCTCCATGATAGCCCAGATAACTTCCCCATCTCTTCAATGGCCCATCGTCAGTCTTTGAACACAAATGCATGAATTTTGTTGACATTTTTGTCCATTCGGGAAGTTGAGGGACATCAAGAACAAGGTTGTCATATCAATCAACATTTCACTTTTTTTTTTTGAAAGAAGGAAACCACTCATACACTTGAGTTTTTCACATAGGGTTCTCCCTGTAAGCTGTGTTCAACATCACAAGTTTTCTGCAGCCCGAGCAGGAAACAAAATTTCAGTCATACTTTGTTCTTTTAAATTGGCCATAACAAAAAACCGAGATTCTAGTCGAACTGCTTTTATGAGAAAACTCCTTGTAACTGGAGATCCTTCCCACTAGGCTAGTGATGTCACTGGGTGCACTAACTCAGACTGAGTTGCTCTATGCTTGCCAAGCGGGAAAAATGCATACAACGTAAGTTCCGCTCCACCCAGCACAACTCTGGGGTATTTTTTTTGGTACTCCCCTCATAGGCCTACTATGCCTCACAATGGGCAAAACTAAAACATATGAAACCTATAGCTACGGAAATGCTTTTGATTTCAATTCTAAGCCAGTGTGATTCTGAATTTGTGTTCAGTAACTCAAATTTTACACTTGTCAAGGTGCTGTGCAAAAACCAGTTAGAGAATAGGTTTTGGGTATGCCACTGTCTTAAATTGCTCTCTAGAACACAAAACCAATGCAAAACCCTCTTTCGTCTTACTGTCTGTACTCATGTCAGTGACTGCGCATACCCCAGAAATGGCTCTCCTTTTCCACAGCTTCACGAGAACACACATTCTTGGGCTGGAGGGCTTTTCCAGTCTTCCCTACACCTGGGGTGCTCATCTTCAACCATTTACCTACGCCTCATACTTTACAATAAAGAAGGTTTTATATAGTCAAGAGTTTAGATGAGTTTAGTATAGATCACTGGTAATTGTAAAATTAAAAGAATTTTGAAACCTTAAATACTTTTTAGCCTTTGTTGATCTAGGGGTCAACAGATACAAGAGCAGCTCTTTGTGGAAGAACAATTGGGAACAAAAGTACTGCTCTTATTTAGCTTATAGTGAAAACAAGACAGATTTATTTAAACACCTATAGTAAAAGAAGGGAATGTTTTATGTCACATCAAAAACTACTACGAGGTTATAAAGTCTAAGCCTTGAACCTCTAATCACTGCTTGCCAATTCGGCCGCAGCTTTCAACTGTTCACCCGCATGCAGACAGAGTGACACTCACTGCAGGCCCCTGTGGTTGAGGAGGCATGCCTGGTCGGACTCCGAGAAGGCCTAGTGGGCCTGGAGGACCATGAGGATAGCCTCCATCGGGCATTCGACGGCGATCATCCCAATGATGCTGCTCCTCCTCCATCCTCCTCCAATACATGTCCTCTTCGTAACGTCTGAAATCCAGAATGACATTACAAATGTGTGAGGAAACTGACAACTAAAGAATTTACATCACTAACAAACATAGCAAACATTTTTTTCTGAAAAAACAAACAAACAAAAAAAACACAATTTCTTCATATTGCACCTGCTTGACACATTTTCATTTGGAAATGGAAGTGGAAGATGAGAAAATAAAGAAAAGTAGAACAAAATCTCACTCCTTAAGGACAAAGTAGAAAGAATAGGCAGCAGAAACCTCTTCTTCTGTGGACTGGAAACTCAAACTGCTAGAGGAGCCAAACCAGTAAAGCAGGCAAGTGAAAGCCTCAATGCGCATAGGAGACATTTAGAACTTTTCATGTCTCCACTTCCCTTCCCTAGTGAGCTCACTTCTACTTATGCCTTAGAACCCAGTGCATTCTATAGGTTGAACTTATTCCATTTCTAAATGTATAATAAAGGCACAGTTAAGATATAAGGGAAAAACAACAGTACAGGCACAGCGACAAGGAGGCAACAACTACGGTGAAGTAGAAAGCAAATGCCTTGACTAAAGCCAACAGCTGTTACCATCTCCTACTAACTTCTGCCGTAAGAAACAAGCTCCAGTGCCACAAACTGGCCATCCTGAAATGGGCACTCACGATCTACTATGCTGGAATGACATATGAACAGTGTCAGAAGCATCTTAGTCTTTAAAGTGACATCTCTGACCCACCCCCCCTTTATTTTTATTTGTCTTCTTAAAACAAATTTTCCTTGCTATCAGCTCCCAGTCCTCTCTTCCGGTCATTACTCCTGTTACTGTCTCAAGAGTTATCTATCTTGGCTTTCATGCATCATACAATCTTAATTATACAAATGAAGTTACAGAGGCCTAATAAGATTAGCTAGGTAAAACAAAGACCATAACAATAAGGGGAGGAAATATTAAACAGCTAGAGGATAGTTATGTTTTTCATCTCTGCTTTTTAACAAGGACTTCTGCAACAGATTTCCTCAATATACCATGTCATTTGATTTCTTGACTGCGTCGCTTCCACAGATGCTTACTGTAGATCCAAGTAAAAGTGACTTTAATCTTTCTGCCATTGATCATGTTGTTGTTTACTGATCCAATTGTGAAGAATTTTTATTTTTGTAATGTTGAAGTTTAATCCATGCTGTAGGATATAGTCAGCAAATGCTTCAAGTCTTCTTTACTTCCAGCAAGCAAGGTCGTATCATCTGCATGTAACAAGCTGTTAATGAATCATCTTAACCCGGTGCTGCGTTTGTTCAAGTCCAGCTTCTTGGATTATTTACTCAAGATACCTTTTAAGTAGTATGGTGAAAAGATACAACCCCAATGCAGTATGTTTGATCCCTTGACTATTGGTTCCATGAGGATTGTTTGTGGATCCACAGAAGATGGGATCTTTGACTACTTCAAACTTTTCTCTATCATGATGTTACCTATTGGGTTTTCTTTACTTTTGAGTTGTAATTCATGTTGAAGTCTGCTATCCTTGATCTTCATCAAGTATTTCAAGTCTTCCTCGCTTTCAGTAGGCAAGTGTGTCATCCATGTATTGCAGGTTGTTAATCAACTTTCCTCTAAGCCTGAAGCTGTGTGTTCTTTTTCATATAACCACCATAAATCAACAAAGTTAAGTGGTAAGGTCTTCCATGTAGATGTATTAATAGTATTCTGTCACTGATAGCACTGTACTTCAGAACAGATCATGCCATTCCTTTCAATCTATCATTCCCAGCATAGCAGACCATGATTACCCAAGCCAAAATGGACAGCTCACTAATGCCTAGGCCATCAATCTTCAAGTGTTTGATGTCATTTTTGACACTTTCTTAATTCATACTTCATATAGGCCATGTGCAATTATTAATGGATGTTTTCAGTTGTTTCTTCTGAGCTGTGCCACACCAACCAACAGAAGTCCCACAAGCTTTTCTTTATCTATGTCATTTAAGTCAACTTGACTTTGAGAAGGTAGCGCTTCTTCCCAATCGTGTTTTCTGTCTTCCAACATGAGAGGCTCATGTTCTCTATTACATGGTTTCAGTGGCTAATGATTCAGAAATGGACCACCATTTCCTTCTCCCTAGTCTTTGTTTTGTACTTATTAATATTAATATTTTATACTTAACAATATTTCAAGATACAGTTAAGTAGAATGTTAAATTTCTAAGTTATACTATCAAAATGACAGATATAATCCATGTAAGCAAAAACACTTTGGATTCACCCAAAATTACTAAAAGGATAAACAGCCCTGGGACCTACTTAAGAGAACCATTGCCTTTTATCTCCAGTACAGGCAGATACAAGTATCCATCAATTAAACATTTCTGGGATCTTATAAGCAACCAATCATGATTGATGCACAAAAAACAAACTCAAGGATAGTCATTATTAGTAGGAAACAGTGGAACTGTCTACCAACCTGGTACTTGGTATAAAGAAAATTTTACATTGACAAGAGTGTAATCCTGCCATAAAAATTATGATAAAATTATTCTAACCAAATTAAGTTAAATATGTAAATTAAATAGTATCTTATAAAATGTTTACTTTTCAAAAACTGTATTAAAACACTTGTAAAGGGGGAGAAGGGGGAGAATAGGGGAACCTATCATAAGGTTGGATATATAGCCCAACCCCCAGGAAGACGAATAACAGAAATGTGGGTGAAGGGAGACAACGGACAGTGTAAGACACAAAACAACAACAATAATATATAATCGATCAAGGATTCACGTGGGTGGGAGGATAGGGGAGGGAGGGAGAAAAAAGAAGAGCTGATACCAAGGGCTCAAGTAGAAAGAAAAAGGCTCGGAAATGTTGATGGCAACATATGTACAAGTGTGCTTAATACAACTGAATGATGGACTGTTATTAAGTTTCCTAAGAGTGCCCCAGCAAAATGATTAATAAAAAAATAAAACACTTGTACACAAATGTTCACAGCAGCACTATTCATAACATCCAGAGAGTTGAGCCAACCTATACAAGTGATCCATGGAAAAATAAACATCATATTTTATACAATGGGTTATTATTCAGACAAAAGGATGAAATATTGATTATGTTACAACAGATAAACCTTGAAAACATGCTATGTAAATATAGCGAGATACAAAAGACACACAAATACTTCATGATCCCATTCAAATAAATATTCAGAATATGTTAACATTTGAAGACAGAAAGTAGATTTGAGTTGCCTAGGGCTGGAGTGAGGGATTAGTGAAAAATGGAAGTGCCTTGTATGTTTGGAGTTTTGCTCACACAGAGAAAATTGTTCTAAACCTGATCATGGTGATGGTGCACAATTCTATGAGTATCAACAAAACATCAAATTAACAATTTAAAAATATGTGAAGTATAGCTCGCTGAAACACACACACACACACACACACACACACACACCCTTACAAACACATTAGTTTAAGAACCTATCAAATCTTATATCAGGATATGTTAAGCAGGTAACTACTACATGCTCTATTTTGGTTATTATTAAAGGAGGCATTATTTATTTATAACCCCCCCCACATATATAAGATGCCATTACAACATACTCCTAAAGCAAGGCCACAACCACTTACTAGAACCATCAACATGGGTCAGAACTGAGCCAAAGGCTTGGTTATGGATTACTATTAGTATGCTATTTGGCAAGTTAGAGATGTTACCTCATTTCCATTCTCCAGCGTTCCTCCTCTTCTCGTCTTCGCCAATACTCCTCCTTCTGCATTTGCTTCCTCATTTTCTCTTCTTGGATCTTTCTTGCTCGAATACTGGGCTTTACTTCTACTTGCAAATCTGGATTTACTTTTTTCTGTTAATGTAGATAAGACATTGAAAAAACAAGCAGTCCTCAACAATCTATACTTAGTTTTAAATTTTAAAAATTCAGTTCCACATATTCTTTTATCGTAAAATTCAAGTTACAATTGAATGGAGGAAAGGATTCAGGATTAGTGAAAATGGTTAGTAACCCAAGTTTAATTCATGATCTTTGACAGGTTATGGGGAACGATACTGCTACAAGAATTTGTATGAGCTGTAAATATATCCACGTGTTTATAGAGCAAAGGGGGGAGCACGTAAGGATCTGAACTACAACCAAATACCTTGAGAAAATAAATCACTGGACGTGGAGGCTTAAGAACATGGGTGTGGGGTCAACTAAGGTCAATCGGCCTAACCGTCTTAAACAGGGGTTCGCAAACTTTTTAAACAGGGGGCCAGTTCACTGATCCTCAGACCTGTTGGAGGGCCGGACTATAGTTTTAAAAAAACTATGAACAAATTCCTATGCACACTGTACATAACTTATTTTGAAGTGAAAATAACAAATGGAGGCAAAAGCACCCGGCGGGCCTTAGTGGGCCGCATGTGGCCCGCGGGCTGTAGTTTGAGGACGCCTGGTCTAGAAAGACAAAGCTCTAAATCCTACTTTAGAAGCAGCCATCTAAAATACAACTCTTCCTTTCTTCTCGTCCAGATTAAAGAAGAGTAATGAAAACGAAAGAAGCATGGAAATAACTTATCCAAAGCACTAATGAGCCACACAGATGGTACGTCGCTATCACTGCTCACCACACTGAAAGGGAGGCACAAGAGACTTGAATGTAAGTGGCAGAAAATTTAGACTCTTGAAATAATAAAAAAGACCATGCTTCTTGGCCTTACAGAATCTGATGGTTCTCTCAGGACTATGGCCTGGAACTGAACTCACTCCAGTGGCTCAAGCAACAGAAAGGCCCCTATAGGGTGAACATTAATACTAGGTGGTATGCACTCTTTAGAGCATCCAGCAAGATGACACCAGGAGGGCAGCATTTGACCAGGGATCAAGTTCCAAAGGCAGGAAGGGATATGAAAGAAGGACAAATGCCAACATAGGAAGGAAGTGAAAAGAGTGCTTTACATTTTGGGAACTCCAATTAAAGCCTCAAAATAAAATGTCTGTGACTTCAATGGAAAACCAATTTGCCCAGGAAACTGTCCCTCAAATGTCTTAAAAAAAAAAAAAGTAAATATGTTTCCACATTTAGAAATACACAGGGGAGCTTCAAAAAGTTCCTTTAAAATTCTCTCTTCTTTTAACTCCACCTTCCTATGGACTTTTTGAAGCCTCTGCTATAGAAAGTATTTAGTGCTCACCAATAAAAAGGCATCTGCAATCACACGCTGATAGCTCATTTTCCCCGTACAAGCTTAACAAACATTTTTAAATGCCTAAGTTGCAAGAATAAAAAGGTTTAACATCATCTAGCAGTACTGCTTTTTAACAAGATTTATATTTTATATTTCTATATATTTAGAAAATAGTGTATGTGTTCTACATAATTAAAAGCTTTATATATAATATTTAGATTTGATTTAACAACGGAAATGTTTTCAGTGAAAAGCTCTTATGGTTAAGAAAAATGCCAGGATTGTCTAGCTTATCAACTCATCTTAAATTTAATTTTAGTGAAGATTCTACCAAGATCACAGCAGACTTGGCATGTCTTTCAAAAACACCATTGCCAAGCAGCTACTTTTTTCCATCCCGCCTACTCTTGTGACCCCTTCATAAATTATAAATT